CAGGAAAGGGAAAAGGTCTGCCCTTTCCCTCTAAAAGAGATTTCTTACACAAGACTCCTCTAGATGAGGAGCTCTGGTTGCTGGTGGTGTGGACATGAGGACAGATTTTAAATGTTCTTGTAAGATCTGGTTGAAGTGTAAAGTGCCTTGAGATAACGTGTTGTGAACTGGCACTATATAAATAAACTGCTGGTCCTGGAGGTTGTGGCTGAGACCACAGGGAAAACTGACCTGGCCTGGTGGAGGTGTGTGGTTTGCAGCAGTCTGAGGTATTGGCAGCAGTGAGGTAGTGGCAGCATCAGGGCAACTCGCTGGAGAGAAAGGGGGTGGCGTCAGGCTGAACTTCTGCAGGGGAAGGGTCTGTGTCAGGCCAACCCGCTGGAGAGGAAGGGGCGTTGTTAGGACGACCCACTGGAGAGGAAGGGTTGGCATCAGGCCGACTCGCTGGAGAGTAAGTGGGGGTATCAGGCAGACTCACTGCAGAGGAAGCCGTGGTGTCAGGTGACAGGCGGCGTTGGGCTGACCCGTTTTGAAAGACCATACATTTTTCTGCTGCCGGCATGGGAGATTCTGCAGCAGTAGAAGTAGGAGCAGCGTGTTTTCATGAGGCAACAGACGGAGAAACAGGTAATGAGGTTAGTGGTGATATGGGTGAAGGAGGTTGATTTAGAAACTGAGCTGCAGAGGCTTGTTGGTTCCATTCAATCTCCTCAAACATACCAGTTATTCCAATTGCATCAAGGAGTTCAAACTGTCTTTCACATCTCCTTTAATTCACAAGCTGCACTAACCTCTCCCAAGGAGGATAGAAAGAGGAGATGTTGTCCAAAGTAAGCCATAAGTCTTTGAAAAAGTTTGAAAGAGTTTAGCGTCCTCCCAGATGGGCTCTGCTCGGTCCATTTCTGGCTGGTTCCTATTATCTGGTTGTTTGGAGGTTTTGGAGGACCCAAATGCAAAGACGGAAGGAGTTAGAGATGAGTTTTGGTGATTTAATGTAGATCCAAAGGCAACAGAAAGCAAAGTCCAAACACAAAAAACGACAAGGAACGACAAGGAACCAGTAATAACAAACTGCACAAGAGGGGTATACATGGGAGACTGGACTGAAGACTGGGCTCATCAGCAGACGAGGAGTAGGCGTGAATGGAAGAATCTAGAAGAGAGCTAGGAGAAGAAGACTGAAACAAAAGAAGGTGTCATGATCTTGGCGCTGATGGTTTGTTTTTTTTCCTTTGCTCCTTGCTCCCCTGTCTAATTGGTTCTGTGGCTGATTATCGCCGATCATTTCCACCTGGTCCCTCTACTATTTAAGTTGTGTGTTTGCCTCCCATCAGTGCCAGATTATTCGTGTGTTTTGGTGAGACGTTCCCTGGCAATCTTTAGTCTGTCTGTTTTGCGGATTATGACCAGTTTTCTGCCCAGTGGATCTCGAGTTTTGCCTTGTCCCTGTCTGCTCTGTCTGTTGCACCTGGCCCTGGATTCTACCGGCTTCTGAACCTGGAACTGTCTCCTGACTTCGGCCCAGAGTCCAGAAGGGATTTCCCCTTCTGGACTCTGTTGCTGCTCGGCGTCTGCTGCTCGCTCTCTAGGAACTCTGGGGGCGTCGCCCGCCGCAACTGCGGTCAAACCTCCGCGATCGGACTGAACTTTGAATCAGAGATCCGCCCAGCAGCAGACGAGCAGTCCCGCGCACCTGTTTGTTAATAAACGCTTTGAACTTTCCCACTGTCTGTCTCGCCTTGAATTCTGGGTCCAATATTCTGAGATCTTTACAGAATAACCTGGCCAAAACATGGACCCATCGGCAGACGGGCAGTGGCGAAATGATGTCGATCAAAGCATTTCCCGGCTTGAATCAGACATGCAGGAGATCCTTGATTACCTGCGTAATCAGGCTGCTCCAGCTGCCCTGCCTGTGACAGCTGCCGCGCCCTCATCTTCTACTGATAGTCCAGCTCTTCTCAAACCACGTCTGTCCCCTCCTGAAGCGTTTAAAGGGGATCCTGACCAATGCAGAGCCTTCCTGACTCAGTGCGAAATTCATTTTGAGTTACAGCCCTCTGCGTTTCCTTCTGACCGTGCCAAGGTGGCCTATGTAATATCTCTGTTAGCGGGAAAGGCCAAATTATGGGGAACCTCAGAGTGGCTGAATAATCCCGAACTCTGCAGCTCTTATAATAATTTTTCTTTGGAACTAATCAGAGTTTTTTGCCCAGTTCTTCCGAGTAGGGAAGCCTCCAGGGGACTTTTGACTCTCAGGCAGGGAGAGCGGTCAGTGATGGAGTACATCACTGACTTCCACCTGTTGTCTGCCGACTGTTCCTGGAATGAAGACGCCCTTATGGACGTTTTTTTCTTTGGCCTGCAGGAAAGCATCAAAGATGAGCTTTCGACCCGCGACTACCCCCGGACTCTGAAGCAGCTGGAGGACCTTGCCAACCGGATCGACCTTCGCCTCACTGAGCGTCGCAGGGAGAGGAGAGCTCTGACGACCGCCTTTCCTCAACCTGATCTTCACTCCGCACCCTATGCTCCTGCATCAGCCCCTGGTCCGGCTCGGATGCCGGAGCCCGAACCTATGCAGCTGGGGCGCACATGCCTCTCCAAGGAGAAGAGGGCGGGTCGCATCAGCTATCATCTCTGTCTCTACTGTGGCAGTGATGGACACTTCCTCAGTTCCTGTCCTTCTAGGGGTAAAACTAGGCTGGGACGCACCAGACTCTCTGCCTCCCCAGCTCTCCTGTTACCTAAGACTCGTGTGGTTACTTCCAGAACCCCAGATCTTCCAGTAACCTCGGCCCCAGCACCCCCGGAGCCTGGTCCGGATTATTTTTCTCCCCCTTCTTCTGAGTCTGGTTTGGATTTCTTTTATGGGGATAGAGGAGACCTTTATCCCTTCCGTTCACCTCCACCCACCTGATTCAGAGAGGGGGGCCCTGCCTTCACGGTCAGGCGCCTTCTCAGCTCCCGGAGGATAGGCAGTGGGCTCCAGTATTTGGTTGACTGGGAGGGTTATGGACCCAGGGAAAGGTCCTGGATTCCGGCCCGGTTGATCCGGGATCAGGAACCCCACTACAGGGATCATCCTGATCAGCCTTTTGGGGCGTCTGGAATCCGCCCTTGAAGGGGGGGTTATGTCATGATCTTGGCCCTGATGGTTTGTTTTTTTTCCTTTGCTCCTTGCTCCCCTGTCTAATTGGTTCTGCGGCTGATTATCGCCGATCATTTCCACCTGGTTCCTCTACTATTTAAGTTGTGTGTTTGCCTCCCATCAGCGCCAGATTATTTGTGTGTTTTGGTGAGACGTTCCCTAGCAATCTTTAGTCTGTCTGTTTTCCGGATTATGACCAGTTTTCTGCCCTGTGGATCTCGAGTTTTGCCTTGCCCCTGTCTGCTCTGTCTGTTGCATCTGGCCCTGGATTCTATCGGCTTCTGAACCTGGAACTGTCTCCTGACTTCGGCCTTGGATTTCCCCTTCTGGACTCTATTGCTGCTCGGCGTCTGCTGCTCGCTCTCTAGGAACTCTGGGGGCGTCGCCTGGCGCAACTGCGGTCAAACCTCCGCGATTGGACTGAACTTTGAATCAGAGATCCGAGCAGCCCCGCGCACCTGTTTGTTAATAAACACTTTGAACTTTCCCACTGTCTGTCTCACCTTGAATTCTGGGTCCAATATTCTGAGATCTTTACAGAAGGTAAACAAGAAATACACAAGAACTCAAGTACAACCAGAAAGCAACACAAAATTTAAATAAAACCAATCAAAACCCAAAAAGAAAACGTAAACGGAACCAAAACTAACCAAATGACAGACTAAATGTGGAGTAAAGCACACTGAAGTCATCTAACTTAAAAATAATTTTAAAAAAAAATCACTAAATACAGGCCGTTTACTTTTTCCTGGCCCTTAAGAGATTTTACCACAGAGAAGATACTGAGCTGTTGAAGTGGTGACAGATATCAAATTATTTAAGGGTAAAAAGTCCCCCAATATAAAAACTGACTTCCTCTAATAAACAGAAATAGTCCTCTAATTTAAATGACATTTGCATGAACTTACAAGTGTTTTACTTACCTGGCAATTGAGTCAATACAGCGCAAAGAATCAATAACAACATATTTTGTAATTATTGTGATTCCTTCGAGATATATGTGTTAGAATATTGTAATTGCTTGATAATGTAAGTATGAAGAAAGTCAAAACATAAACCAAGAGTTTAATCCGGCACTGAGGAAATTGATCTGTATACTATTTAAGCTTGTTAATTATAACAACATTCTATTATCATTCAATGGATCTTGTCATAAACTGTGACATATAAACTTTATCTTGATAGAGTGACACCTGGTTTCCAGAGTTGGAGAATGGCATATGATGTGTGTTTAGTTTTTTGTAGAATACTTAAACTCTTATGAAAACATTTGTGAAAATAAACTAACTGTAGTGAATCATTTTGCTATACCATTATCTATTATATTCCCTAAATGGTCAAATAATGATAAGCTGGAATAAATGAACTAAAATAGAAACTAAAAAAATAGAAACTCAAAATAGAAACTAAATAAACTAAAAATAGAAACTAAAACTAAAATAGAAACCTGGCTGGAGCTACTTAGATCATTTTGCATGCAGAGGTGAGCATTTCTTCATCGGCATAAACAGAACACCTGCATAGTTTAGTAGGAGATAGTCTTGGGTTAGTGGCATATACATAAAACCTTAATCAGTTGGGTGTATTTGTGATCAAAACTTAAACTCTGGTTTAAGGTACTAATGCTGCTGAACTGTTTAACATTTTCAAAGATTCAATGGTTGCCTGAGTTAGTGCACGAATGCATTATTGTTTTGTGTTTATTTTTAAGTGTTTACAACAAACCCATTCAATAAGTCAATGTTAGTGTTGCATTTTATTTAGTTCTTTAGATCTTGTTTTCTCAGATCATTGTAAATAAAACCTAATTATAGAAAATTATGTTTCCACGGTTCTTACACTAGCCTACAATAGGTCAATAGTCCACAATACGTCTGATGGAGCCAACCCTGGCGGTTCTTCCACCCCAATCACTGAACCTTTTATATTCTCTGGGTCGGATCAAGTACATCTTGCCACGATAGTGTGGACGCTCGTAGAAAAGCCAGTTCCCATTTGCAACATTGCAAGAGAAGACATTGGGAATGTTGAAGCGGTCCATTACGTTGGGACAGTCATCCATCAGGTCCATCATTTGGCCGCCAAACTCAATTCGCTCATACAGGCGCATATTGAATGACCCAGGCTCCTAGGTTTGAACAGGAAAAATATGTGCCATTATACTGTGTTAACAGATACATACCAAAAAAACATCAATTAACATTAAGCAGTTTGCTAAATGTGTAACATGATTATACAAGGTTTGAAAAATGTGTATTAGGCCCCGTCCACATGAAGTCAAAACGAACACGAAACGCTAATATTTTCCAGAACGTTTGTCGTAAAGACGTAAAATAAATGTGATCGACCACACGAATGCATGAAAACGCTGCAAAATGTATGCAAGGCCTGTAAGTGGCGCTGTGGTGCCAAAGCAAAAATAGGCGACGAAATGTTGGGCATGA